TAACGTTATTAAAATTAAAATTATAACAAAAAAAATTTTTAAAAAAAACCATGGACGGATAGAACCCTAGGACAAATGGTGGAAGCAAGACTATACAGACAAGATCTCACACAGAAGCATACACATACACATTCACAAAAAGAGGAATAGGGAAAAAAATCATAGATCTTGCTCCTAAAGTCCACCTCCTTAATTTGGGATGATTGGTTGTCTATTCATGTATTCCACAGGTGCAGGTACATCAAGTTGATTGTGGAGCTTTAATCCGCTGCCCCTGAGGCTGCTGGGAGAGATTTCCCTTTCTCTTCTTTGTTCTCACAGCTCCCAGGGGCTCAGCTTTGGATTTGGCCCCGCCTCTGCGTGTAGGTCGCTGGAGGGCGTCTGTTTTCTGCTCAGACAGGACGGGGTTAAAGGAGCCGCTGATTCGGGGGCTCTGGCGCACTCAGGCCGGCGGGTAGGGAGGGGCCCGGAGTGCGGGGCGGGCCTGCGGCGGCAGAGGCCGGCGTGACGTTGCGCCGGCGTGACGTTGCACGAGCCTGAGGCCCGGCGTGCGTTCTCCCGGGGAAGTTGTCCCTGGATCCCGGGACCCTGGCAGTGGCGGGCTGCACAGGCTCCGGAAGAGGGGTGTGGAGAGTGGCCTGTGCTCGCACACAGGCCCCTTGGTGGCGGCAGCAGCAGCCTTGGCGTCTCCCGCCCGTCTCTGGGGTCCGCGCTGTTAGCCGCGGCTTGCGCCCGTCTCTGGAGCTCCTTTAAGCAGCGCTCGTAATCCCTTCTCCTCGCGCACCAGGAAACAAAGAGGTAAGAAAAAGTCTCTTGCCTCTTCGGCAGGTGCAGACTTTTCCCCGGACTCCCTCCCGGCCAGCCGTGGCGCACTAACCCCCTGCAGGCTGTGTTCACGCCGCCAACCCCAGTCCTCTCCCTGCGCTCCGTCCGAAACCGAAACCCGAGCCTCAGAGCCTCAGCTCGCAGCCCCGCCCGCCCCGGCGGGGGAGCAGACAAGCCTCTCGGGCTGGTGAGTGCCGGTCGGCACCGATCCTCCGTGCGGGAATATCCCCGCTTTGCCCTCCGCACCCGTTGCTGTGCACTCCTCCGCAGCTTCGAAGCTCCCCGCTCCGCCTCCCGCAGTCTCCGCCCGCGAAGGGGCTTCCTAGTGTGTGGGAACCTTTCCTCCTTCACGGCTCCCTCCCACTGGTGCAGGTGCCGTCCCTATTCTTTTGTCTCTGTTTTTTCTTTTTTTTCTTTTGCCCTACCCAGGTACGTGGGGAGTTTCTTGCCTTTTGGGAGGTCTGAGGTCTTCTGCCAGCCTTCAGTAGGTGTTCTGTAGGAGTTGTTCCACGTGTAGATGTATTTCTGGTGTATCCGTGGGGAGGAAGGCGATCTCCGCGTCTTACTCTTCCGCCATCTTCATGGTCCCCCCGCATGTATCTTTTTGAATTAGAGATTTTGTCTTTTCCGAAGTAATATTCTTATTTCCATTATCACTGAATTTCAGTCTTCCCCTCAGGATGCACATGGAAAGGCTCTGAGCTGGAAAAACTGTAAGGCCAGAGGCAGAAGACGACATTTATGGGCAACTCTGTCTTGGTCATAACTCTATTCCTCCACCATTACTTGGTGTCAGACATTCAGCCAAACACTAATGTAGATGAAAGAGCTGTTTACTTTATTAGCCCATTAAGCAAATGCTTGTCAAGCTCCTACCATGCTGGACGGTGTGGTAGCCCTGGTGCAGAAAAAGAAACACACAGACGGACCCTCACCGATGAGGGTAAGAACAACAGGGTTGAGGCACATACAGCCTCCCCTCAGGGATGGAGTCCTGTGCCCAGGGCGCCCACAGACCCTTGCCAGTGGAGGAAGCAGGGCTGGAGCATTTTCTAGTAACAGATAACACACTTGGCCAGACCACGGTGAAGCCAAGAGCACACCAGTCTGAGAATGGGATCTTCTCTAGCTGCCACTGAATAGCAGTGTGATTGGGGGCCGCTGACTCAAATCACCTGCAGGCCCAGTGTCCTCATTCATTGAATGAAGGGATTTAGAGGAAACTTCCCCACTCCTGGGCATATATCAGGAGAAAACCATAATTCAAAAAGATACATGCACCCCAATGTTCACTGCAGCACCATTTACAATAGCAAGGACACGGACACAACTTAATGTCCATTGACAGATGAATGGATAGAGAAGATGTGGTACGTATATACAATGGAATATTACTCAGCCATAAAAAAGAATGAAATAATGCCATTTGCAGCAACATGGATGGACCTAAAAATCATCATACTAAGTGAAGTAAGTCAGACAGAGAAAGACAAATATATGATATCACTTATATGTAGAATCTAATTTAAAAAATGATACAAATGAACTTATTTACAAAACGGAAACAGACTCACAGATATCAAAAACAAACTTATGGGTACCAAAGGGGAAACTTGGGGGGGGGGGAGGGATAAATCAGGAGCTTGGGATTAACATACACACTCTACTATATTATAAGATAGATAACCAACAAGGACCTATTGTATAGCACAGGGAACTCTACTCAATACTCTGTAAAAACCTATATGAGAAAATAATCTGAAAAAGAATGAATATATGTATATGTATAACTGAATCACTTTGCTGTACATCTGAAACTAACAGAACATTGTAAATCAACTATACTCCAATAAAATTAAAAAAAATAAAATCAAGGAAGTTTTTAAAAAAATACAGTTGATACAAACAAGCAATACTCACTCCAGGTTTCTGTATATAAAATACAGTACATGTATGTGAAATTAAAATCAGTAAAAATGAAAAAACATAAAGGAAACTTCAGTCTGTGTGTGTGTATAGACTGTGTATATGCACGTATATATGTGTATACGTATATATGTCTGTAATTATTGTAAATAAGAAAACAAAGCATAGAGTTGACATTTCTCATCTCTCGTTCCGGGTCTGTTGCTTTTCCTTCTTAGTTTTTGGCTATTTTTCTCCTTTTTCTCTGTTGACATTCACCTGTCATAACACACTGTAGCTCACCTCTGCCTCAAGCTAGCCCTTCTTTGAAATCTCTGCTTCTCCTGTTCCAGTTTTCCTTCCTTTGCCTAAACAGAGCATCAAGAAAGGAAGAAATCAATAGGAGAAATGATATGTTTTGATCAGCAGTTTTCTCTAAATTACATTTGTTAAAGTCTGGCCGTTTCATATTCTGTTTAATGTATTCCATCGAGGTCATTTTCAATCTTGAAGTTCCTTCCCATTTCTTTCATTTCAAAAGGTGAGAGGTTAATGTCTTGCTTTTTAAAAATTAATAGCAACTCACTGGAACTATGATAAAGGCAAAACGGAGCTTTATTGTGAATGACGGACATGGGACTCTTTTGGGGAAAAATGTATGGAAGAACTAAGGCAATGATGTATTTTTTTAATCCCCCCTATTTATAATGGATTATCATTGCATAAAATTTACATACGGCCAACAAAGTATGGCAAGAGAATGTATTGCTCAAACGCTCAGGTAACAACTTAACATCCAGTTAATTCAGTGGTAAACATCGGAGGAATCAGTTGCAAAGGGTTTTCGTGGCAGGGGAGGCCGTAGTGGAAATAACGTTGGCTTAAGTATCAAGAGATCTGGTTTCTAACCTGGCATTTAATAAAATTGTGTGTCCTTGGGAAAGTTATTTCATTTCTCTGTGGGGAGTGAGGACAACACCTCCAGGCCCAGTTATCCATCACTGCAGAAAAAATCACCCGGAAGCTTCCATGCCAGCCTTCGGTTCTGAGTGAGTCTGCTGGTTCCGGGTGAGCCTCGAGCCTGCCCAGGTTCAAGGGGAGCAGAAGCAGGTTCTACCTCTCTTACAAGAGCATTTCAAACAGGAGATACTTTTTCGGCCATTTTTAGAAAAGACATGCTTTCCACCTAAGCTACCATTTTTAATGCTTAATCGTTGCCTTGGAATAGGGATTATTATCCATTTAAAAAATAATCAGCACCTACTCAAATCTTCTTTGTTTATAACTTCTTGTAGGCTTTCTTTTCTACATATATATTTAAATCATTTCTGTATTTTAAATTATTTGCCCACAGCTTTTTTTAAAAAAAAAATCTTTATTGGAGTATAATTGCTTTACAGTGGTGTGTTAGTTTCTGCTTTATAACAAAGTGAATCAGTTACACATATACTTATATCCCCATATCTCTTCCCTCTTGTGTCTCCCTCCCTCCCACCCTCCCTATCCCACCCCTCCAGGCGGTCACAAAGCACCGAGCTGATCTCCCCGTGCTATGCGGCTGCTTCCCACTAGCTAGCTATTTTACGTTTGGTAGTGTATATATGTCCATGCCACTGTCTCACTTTGTCCCAGCTTACCCTTCCCCCTCTCCGTATCCTCAAGTCCGTTCTCTAGTAGGTCTGCCTCTTTATTCCCATCTTGCCCCTAGGTTTGCCCGCAGCTTTATTGAGACATAATTGACACATAACATTGGGTAAGTTTAAGGTGTATAGCGGGTTGATCTGGTACATTTACATATTGCAAAATGATTACCAGCATAGCATTAGCTAACACTTCCATCCCGTCACATAATTACCATTTTTTGTGTTGAAAACAGTTACCGTCTACTCGCTTAGAAATTTTCAATATATGCTACAATATTAACTATAATCACTGTGCTGTACATGAGATCCCCAGGACTTGTTACTCTTGTAACTGGAAGTTTGTCTACATATATTTTTAATGTTTATTTAAAATCCATCTGAGACTGTATTACTGAGGATAGAGCTTTTAATCTCTTAAGAGCTATAGGTTTGATAGATGTCACGCATATAAATGCAGTATCTTTGCTTCTCAGTTGGCCTGCACAATTCTCTAAGGATTGTTGTGATTGAATTAAGCCCTAGCTAGTATCTACGGGCCAAATCCATGAGGATTTCTCTGGAGGGAAATTGTTATATTTACTTGTTAGTGAGAAATATAAAATGATAAAAATTCCTTTTTGGCCTTAGAGAGAAGATATTGCAACCCCAGAAAAAGATACCTGGCTGCTTGGCCTTTCACTGGAGTCCGAGTGAAGGACTGCCCTCTGAGGCAGCGTTGACATCTAAGGAAAGGTATCACATCCTGAACTTACCGCCAAAACGGGGGAGGTTTTAGTTGATTCTGTTGTCAAGGTTCACCTCCTCTATTGTGTTTTGCAATTGATTTTTTTAACTTCATGCGGGCCTTTCTACTAATAGGCAAAATGCTTTCTGGCCTATGAAATGTCCACCTGTCCTGATTCCTCTTCCTTGTAACTACCTCTCCCCGCCAGGCATTCACAGCACTCTGTGCTGAACTCGGACTGGACCTGGAAACCCAGACAACCCTTCCAAAGCCTTATCATCTTCCAGAACGCTTTACACACAGAAGATAAAAATGTAGTTCCGTATAACACCGCGAGAAAACTTTTGCAAAGGTAAGGCATTATTCTCATTGTAAAATAATTCACTTTAGTGGGGGGAAAAAAACCTCACCTTGACACTTCTTGAGATAGCAAGTTAGCTGACTGCTGAGTTTAGACTGCTTTAAGAGCATCACCTTAGCACGTGACTCTCATGAATATTTCCCCCCAACTAGATGAGAACTTATCCCTCTCATTTGGATCTTCGCCGAGTCACCCCTTTGTGTGGAGTTGCCAGCTCCCAGCAGGGCCCGTAAGGACGGCAGAGCTCGAGTCTCTGACTCTATCCGTCTCCCATCACCTCCAGCCTCCTTCACTTGGTGGCAGCCCATTGTCTCCGTCTCTGTCTTGAACACACCAGGTTTGTTTCCTCCTCAGGCCCTTTGCACTGGCCATGGCCCTGCCCGAACTTGCCCTTCCTCCAGGCTTTGGTTAGTGACTCACTGTCATCATTCTGATTAGGACTGAATGCCACCCCTCCACGGGGCTTCCCTTAGCCCCTGTTAACGTCTGCTCCCCACCCACTCAGACTCCATTCGACTCCCTCTCAAGTCCAAGCCATAACCCCAATGTCCTTTTTTTCACAGCACTTTCCCCTAAGTTCCTTATGTCTTATTTACACCCAGGCCATCCCTGGGGACACTTGCTTTCCTCATGTAATCATTAATTACTCTCGAGTGTTCTGGTTGAAATAGAAACTATAACATTATCATAGTTATCACTTCTAGAAATGAGGTTTATTTATTTTTCCGTATCCTTCGTAGATGTCTCTTCACTAGAAAGTAGGCACAGGGACTTTGTGCCAGGTAATTATTTAGGCACCGGGGAAGCAACAGTGAATAGAGATTATGAGAACTCATTCAATATTTTTTGATGGAACCAGTTAAAGAAAACGAATGACAGGCTTTCATGTAATGTGTTTGTGCACAGACACATAAACGAACTGAAGTGATGATTTTGTGTTCGTGTTTCTTTTAATTTTTATTTTATATTGGAGTCCAGTTGATTAACAATGTTGTGTTAGTTTCAACTGTACAGCAAAGTGATTCAGTCATACATGTATTTATTCTTTTTCAAATTCTTTTCCCATTTAGGTTATTACAAAGTATTTAGCAGAGCTCCCTGTGCTATACGGTAGGTCCTTGTTGGTTATCGTTTTTAAACATAGCCGTGTGTACATGTCAATCCCAAACTCCCAATCTATCCTTCCCCCTCCCCCCACATCACCCCGGGTAACCATAAGGTTATTTTCTATGTCAGTGAGTCTGGTTTTTTTTGTTGTTGTTGTTAAATAAGTTCATTTTTATCTTATTTAAGTGAAGATTTTGGATCAAGTTTTATTTCATAGTTATGTGGACGTATGCTCCAAAAAATAATAAATAGGGAAAAACTCACACTCATTCAGAGGAATGAGATTGCAAAGAATTTGTCAAAAAGTTCAAACTGAAAAAGAAACTTGTTTAGAAAGGTCGCTTCTGCTACATTGCATGAAACTTCCTAAAGAGGTCAGCGACTCCTCCATTAGTACCTGGGGTCTTCTCTCTATCTTTGTCAATTTTTTTCTTTTCAACACTGGCCTTGGAATATGACAAGTTATTCTAGATAATTTAGGCAATATTCTTGCAAGTAGCCATAATGTGGGGGACCCAGATGTGGGGGACGAGTTTATCGATCTGTAGACAGAGCAACGATACTGGGGTCGCTGCTCGCCTTTGCACACGGAGCCATGGATGAATTAAGAACAGATTTTCCTTTGAGAGGATAAACTGGGAGAAAAAAGCTGAGGTTGTGTTTCAACCTCCACTTGTCTCCTAGGCTTGAAAGCTTCGGGCAGTACACGGTCTGCATCACTTCATGTGGAAACATGGGCGGTAGCAAAGACCATTTATTTTCAGTGTGTGTAAAACCGATGAAATCAAAATTAACCCAGAGAACTATTTAAAGTGGCGTTTATTTCTTTCTGACCCCAAGGGTGATTTATTCACATCCACACCCCAGACACGAACACAGCTTCAAATGGACACTTCAGCAGCTGGGATGTACTGAGTTGCAGGAGGTCCCACCTTACAAATCAGAATAGTTCAGAGAAGTGACACAATCATATGCATGTTTAAAGGCAACCCAGAACTGGGAACACAGGGAAATCCCACTGAACTGAATTCCAGTAAGAGACAAGCCCTTCCTAGCAGAGACCATGGGTACTTTCATCCCTGCCGCATTTTTCTTTACTCAGTATGTGTGGGATGTGGCACCCACCTGTCTTTTAAACGTCTGCCAACTACAGATTGGCCCTTGCCATCTGCCTCTACGAGGATTAAATCATGAACTGCTGCAGCCGCTGACCTTCCGCACCCCCCGAAAGGAGCTCAGGGTGGAGAGCAGGAAGGAGGCCCTCTGTGCTCTGGGAAAACCCGGCAGAACAGGCCTTCAGATAGTTAGATATTCTCAGGAGATATTATGAGCCCAATTCTTGCATCTCCTTGTATCTAGAAAAGCACTAAAATCATTAATGGAGACATCTGCTCCTCGTGACGAGCAGCCACCTTCTGCCAAAATGCATGGGGTTTTTTTTTTTTTCATTTATTTTTTGCGGTACGTGGGCCTCTCACTGCTGTGGCCCCTCCCGGTGCGGAGCACAGGCTCCGGACACTCAGGCTCAGCGGCCATGGCTCACGGGCCCAGCTGCTCTGCGGCATGTGGGATCTTCCCGGACCGGGGCACGAACCCGCGTCCCCTGCATCGGCAGGCGGACTCTCAACCACTGTGCCACCAGGGAGGCCCCCAAAATGCATGTTTGACTGCACGTTCCCCCTTCACTAAAATCACATCTATACTGACCTCCCTCTGCCTCTTCGGGACAGTTTCTCAGAGCTCTCTGAGAGGCTGTCTCCCAGGCTATAGTCCTCATTTTGCCCCAAATAAAACTTAACTCAGAACTCTCATGTTGTGCATCTTTTTAGGCAACTCTTCATCAGCCGCGTGTGGGCTGAGAGGAAGGTTTGGAATTCTGAGGACTCCCAGGCTTGGAGTGAATCCACACCACATCCTTCTCACGGGACCTTCACTGGGTGCATGGTAGCAGCACCAAGGCCGGTAAGCCCTCCCGATGTGCGCGGTACCTGGACCAAGTACGTGGCCGGGCCCTTCTGGAGGCTTGGGGATGTGCAGGATGGCCAAGGGAGCTTCCTAGGGCACAGGAGGCTCCTCCTGGATGCGAGGCCGCAGCAAATCAAAGCCTGCTCCTCTGGTAGAAGAACGGAGAGCGATCTCCAAAGGCTCAGGGAGTGGCTGCTCACGTGTGAAGTCTGGAGCCTCAGAGTCTCTCCAGTGCTCAGGTTTTAAGCCTTGCTGAAGGGACAGTCTTGACCCTGCCCTCAAAGTATGTGAAGCCAGGGGTAGAATGAGTCTAATTAAAGCTGCAACAAAGCCCAGACTCAGCCCAATTACAGATACGTTTGACTCAGCGTCCTACCATTTTCAGGGGCAAATACTACCTGTTTAATTCTCAATTATTCTTTTACGTGGGATGTACAGAGTGAAATTTTAAAAATTAAAGAGACAAGCAAAGAGGCAAGAAAATGTGATCCATTATCAAGAGAAAATTTTTGTCAGTAGACTCAGAGCCAAAGATATAGATTATGGAATTAGCAGACAGAGGCTATAAAATAACCCTAATAAATGTGTTAAAGTATATATTAGAAGACGTGAACGACATACATAAGCAGATGAGGAATTTCATCAGAAATGAAAGCCATAAAAAAATGATGGAAATTCTAAGATTGAAATAAGACATAGCAGTTTTATATTTGAATGCACTTAATAACAGAGCTTCGAAATATGTAAAACAAATACTGACAGAAGTAATGAAGAAATATATAAATCCATAACCAGAGTTGGAGGTTTTAAACCCCTCTCAGTAATTAATAAGACAACTAGGCAAAAGTTATAAAGATGTGGGAGATTTGAACATAACCTTCAACCAACTTAACCTAACATGAATAGAACAGTGGGTACAAAAACAGATACATTCATGAACATTACCATATGCTAGGCCATAAGATAAGTCTCAGTTAGTTTTAAAGGCGTGACATCATAGAAAGTATATTCTCTGACCACACATTATTGTTGATTAGAAATCAACAATAATACAATCTCTAGAAAAACTCAAATGGAACATTATGCAACAACAAGAAAATCCTATGCGTCAAAGAAGATATCACAACGGAAATTAAGAATATTTGGAGTTGAATGATAATGAAAACCCAACATAACAAAATTTATATTCAGCTAAAGCAGTGCTGAGAATGAAATTCATAGTTTTCCAATAAATTTATAAGGAAAGGAAATTTATAGTATTGATTTTTTTACTTTCCCCCATTTCCAACAAACTTCCATGTTTAGAAGCTAGGAAAAGAAGAGCATCTCAAGCTCAAAATTAATAGAAGAGAGAAAATAATTAAGAGCAGAAATCAATGAAATAAACACTAGACAAAAATCAACAAAATCAAAGTGGCTATGTTAAAAAAGATTTACAAAATTAATAAACTCCATGTTAGATTAATCAATAAAAAAGAAAGAAAGCACAAGTAATCAATATGAGAAAATTTAAAAGGACCTATCAATAAATATAGACAAAACACACACACACAAAAAAAATAAAAATAAATAAATAAATATAGACAAAATAAAGACAAAAATGAAATATTATGAACATATGCCAATAAAGTCAACAATATAAGTGAAATAAGTTCGATTAAAATGAACGCAAGAAGAAATAAGAAACCTGGAAACATATATATACTAATATATTTACAATTTTAAAAGAGACACATCAACAAAGACAGTTTGAGCCCAGGATGACTTCACTAGTGAATTCCTTCAAACATTTAAAGAGAAATATTACCATTTTTGCACATTTTTTTTCCAGGAAGGGGAGGAGGAGAAAACACTTCTCAGTATTTTTATGAGGCCAGTATAACCATGAGGCCAGAAATCTGACAGGGATATTACTAGAAAAGAAAAATACAGATTAAAATCCTTCATAAGCATGGTGACATAAACAGGACAGTAGTTTTTAAAAAAAAATTTATTTTATTGAAGTATAGTTGATTTACAATGTTGTGTTGATTTCTGCTGTACAGCAAAGTGATTCAGTTATATATACATTCTTTTTCATATTTTTTCCATTGTGAATATTGGATATTGAATATTGTTCCCTGTGCTATACAGTAGGGCCTTGTTGTTTATCCATTCTATATGTAACAGTTTGCATCTGCTAATCCCAAACTCCCAATTCTTGCCTCCCCCTTCCCCCCTTGGCAAACACAAGTCTGTTCTCTATGTCTGTGAGTCTGTTTCTGTTTCGTAGCTAGGTTCATTTGTGTCCTATTTTAGATTCTACATATAAGGACAGTAGTGGGGTTTTTTTTCGGGTTTTTTTTTGGTAGAATTAATTTATGGGAAGACGGGTAGGGTAAGGTTCTACATTTTGATGTTTTGAAGTTTGTAGTTATATGATGTATAAAATTACCACACTCAGTGAATGATCCACTAACGATGTGTGCAGTTTATTATATGAAAATTATACCTCAGTAAAGACAAAATGAAGCAATTATGAAGATGATGTAATTTCCATCAGTGAGAAATGCTGCTAGAGTCTTCATAAGCACATGCCACTTAATAATGATATTCATGCACTGCTTTATTAAGCACTTTAACCTTTACGCTCTAATTCTCATGATAAACACATTACGTTTGTGATGTTATTCCCAAACTCTGGAGGATAACTGGCTTACTCTAGGCTTTAGAGAGTGAGTGTGCAGCAAAATCAGGACAGAGACCCAAGATTGTTGCCTCTTAGTTTATGCTTTTCCAAGAAACAATAGTTACTCTGCTGCTGCACTGTCCTTACCTCAGAAAACTCCTGCTGTAGCAACGTTTGTTGTTGAGGTCTCTGAAATACCTGTTTTGTTCTGAACCTCTGAACTTTCTTGGCTCAAAATTGGAATGACAGCCTTTAACACATGATTATCATTTTATAGCAGTGTATGCATTTAGAATTCTGACTTATGATTCACCCAGTTATCTGAATTAAAATATTTTCCTTGCCTTCACTGTTGGGCTTTGAAGTACCCCCGTAAACCCACCTACCCCTTTCCCCAGAGTCTGGGGTAGGCGCTTCAATATGCCCCCACAGCACCATAAGATCCCCCACCATAATGCCCATCACAAGATACTGGACCTTCCAGTTTATGCGTCTGCTTCTACCCAGCGGTGAGCTCAGGGATTTTCTGCTTGGAGGAGAAATTATTTCGTATTCATCTTTTATCCCAGGGCTTATTACAGTGGCATTCAAGGGTCAGTCAATAAATACTACTGAATGACTAAACAAACAGGGTAAATAAATGCCTTAGGAGAATCGGTCACCCCCCGGTCTGCCATATCTCACCACGACTACATTGATACATTGATTAATAATTTGCCTGGAAAGAAGCTCCTTTATGATGGTGTGGATGATAGTAAAAGTAATATTTTCATCGTGTTATTAAGTGCAGTGTTGTTCAACCTGTCTGCTTACCTGCCAACGTACGGTCTGGGGCAGAGATCACGTCAGCTTTGCTGTCGTATCTACAGCAGTTTGGAGAGTTATTGGCACACGGTAGTGGCTTACTTTCCTGGATGAATAAATACCTTTTTATGATGATTATATAATACATGTACAGTTCTGTAAACATTATATATATTAGTCATGCTTTACATGTACATATATAAATTTAAACTTATCCATCTTTTTCTTCATTGATTGTGATTTTTGTCACTTGTTTAATAATTGCTTCTTTTCCCCAAGGCACTGTCTTTATTTTTTGGTAAGATTTGGGGGTTTGATTTTTATATATTGATAGTTAATTCATTAAAATTGTTTTCTTTTTGTGGTGTGAGGTAGGTATCAGATTTTTTAATGTATGCGTAAACAATTTTCCCAGCTCTATTTATTGAATAGCTTAGCTTTTCTTCTCTGATTTGCAATGTCATTTATCAATGTTCTATAATTAATAGGCATTCTTTTCTATTATATATGTTGGCATTGATATCATAGTGTTTTCATTACTACAGTTTTGTAAGTCTTGATAACTAGTAAGAAATGTTTTGTTCCTTTTCTTCTCTCGTCTTGATCTTTCTTCTTAGAGGTTTTTAAAAAGCAAATTTTTCTTTTGTTGAAGCTCATTTGCTTTTTTCTTTTTCCATTTTATTGATTTCCTACCTATTATGTCTGCCCTATTTTTAAAAGCTTATTCTAAGCTTTTAAGTTCTTCAGACATTTACTTTTAATCTTTTTCTTTTATTAATGCACATATTTCCCTTTTTCTTGGTCCTACTATAGATGACTATGATGTAGTACACTTTTTGGTATTCGATTCTAAATATGTCTTAGTTTCCTACGTGAATAACTTATTATCTTGAGTAATTTGAGTCCATTTAAGTCTGTGCTTGTTGCTGATTTCTAATTACTTGGAGTTTTGCTCTGAGAATCTGATCTGAATGTGTATCACTCACACTCTAGCAGGAAGCAGATGCCGTACTCAAGTGGGTAATGGAGGAAGGTTTAATGAAGAGGCTGCTCATAAATATGTAAGCAGGGTTACAGGAAACCAAGAGCGATGGTTGAAATGCTCTAAACTAGCAAGATGGAGGAGCCATTACTACCCTCAGGACTGAAGGTTAAGGAGGGGCAAAGTTGACCAGAACCCAGAGATAGTAGCTGTTGTTGTAGCAGAGGGTTTCCTGACAGGGGCTGTGGTCTTGGTAGAGAAACTTACTTCAACATATAACGACCCATCACAGAGGAAACCAGGAAATAAGTAAGTACCCTGATCTCACTCTGTTCTCCAGTCCAGTCTCCACCAATGCTTCCCATTTATGCGAAACAACCAGAAGCCAGATGGCAAAGGGAACCATGGACGAAGTCCAGCCAGTTCAGCCTCCCAGGGTAGAGGCAGATGGAAGAAAGGCAGAGGGTGGGTTTGGATGGTATAATGAAAGTGTCCAGTACTGTTCATTCTTTCTGTCCCCTCCAAAGCTTCACTCACCTGTTTGTTTGGCATTCAAGTAAAATAAATGTGTTCTCAATGCTGGGGACAACAAAGTTCCATGAGCTGCCGTATAGATTGAGTGATGTCAATACCTGAAAGATAAAATGTTAGCCACCCCGAGCTGCCCACCATCAACTGAATGTTTTTTCCTGATATTCCAAATCATAAGATTGGATATTAACAGTAATATTAAATTATCCCTTGGAAATGGTATATATCAGAACAGGCACAAGTTAATTGCACAGGTAGCTGGGTCATTTACTCACCTGGAAACTGTGCCTATTTCTGTGTCTACCGCTTTGCCCTCAACACACACCTGTGGCCTCATGAGGGTTCCCTATGAAAAGTTAACAAAAAGGGTAGGTCTGGTTTGCAGATGGATTTGCATAATACACACATAGATAACCAAATGTATTACAGCTCCACACAGGGATGGTGGATTTGGAAAAAAAACAGTGATGATGGGCAATCACTTGGGGGTCAAGCACTAAGTTTCCACCGGGGTCAATAGGAGGCCAGGAACTGCTTACCAGCTTGAGGCTAGTTACTGGCAGAAGACGGCATGGCTTCATTCCCAAACCCAAGGGACCATGCAGTGATTCTTTCTTTGGGATTTTTCAGTTGCTGTTAAAATATATTATCTGCCTCTCACACAGGAAATACCGTAGCATATCTTGACACACAGCATAAGTGACAAGACAGCTTGAACTACTTCTTGGACATGATACGGAAGTCTAAGCAGTAGACCTTCTTGTTCTTTACTCTTTCCACCCGCTCCCCCGTGCAAACTGGCCATCTTAAGCGTTACTCAATAATCATATTACAAGATCATGCTTACATATCCTATATGTAGCCTTCAGAAAGCAAAAAGTCCATCAACAGTTATGTCTATTTCTTTGAAATGGGTGCTACAAAGTGTCACAGTATATTTTCACTTTAGAGTGAAAGTGAAAGAGTTTAGGTCTCCAAACTCTTGTGGGGCTTATCTCTTACCCTCTCACCCTTGCTACTTCCTCTCATCAGCTCCAGTGAGCAAAACGTCATCAACGTGATGTGGTACCTGATGTGATGTTAAGACATTCAATTCCCTCTAGTCTGTCTTAGGACCAAAGCAGGAGCGATGGATGATGTAGGGGTGCTGATGCTCCTGCCACAAGAGATTGAGTTGTTTCTGATCATCTTTACTGACAGAAATGGGGAAAATTATCAATATATGCCAGGTCAACAGCCCTATACTCGGTGGTAGAGCAATGTTGATTTGCTTCAGTAAAGATACCACATGTGGAACTACAGTTATGATGGACATGAGCCCCTGATTAAGTGTGCGATAACCCACAGTCCTCCTCCAAGACTCATCTGGGTTTTGTACCATTCAAACGGGTAAGGCAGAGTGACTTCCCTGGTGGTCCAGTGGTTAAGACTCCGCCTTCCAATGCATGGGGTGCAGGTTCAATCCCTGCTTGGGGAGCTACGATCCCACAAGCCTTAGAGCCAAAAAAACAAAACATAAAACAGAAGCAATATTGTAACAAATAAAGACTCCTGTTTTCCTCCTGTTTGTACAATGTTTTTTAAAAAATCCCTGTGACAGAGTTCTCCTGGTGTGAACCGCATGGGTTATGGCTTCAATAGCAACCAGAAGTGACAGCTCCTAGGTCCTCATTGGGAGAAGCTTCCTACGTGGGGGAAAGAGGGCTGGAAGGCATGAACCCTGAGTGGGAGGAGGGTGCTGCAGCATCACCGGTGCAGGTGAGGGTCATGGCAAGGATGCTGGCCGCCAGAGCCACACTCGGTCTCAGTTACGCTCACCTTTTTGCTGAAGAACAGGGGGAAGCCTGTCCCCTTTCCCTCTCCGAATCGATCCAGAGAAGGTGGCCCTGGCCGGCTTGCCACTCTGTAGAGCCTCGAGTTGGCCACCAGGAGGCAGTGCTGTCTCTTCTCAGACGCAAGGGTAGAAGGTCCCGCCTGGATCGGAGGTGAGTTCTCGGGTGACCTGTGGGAGGTGTGAAGACAGAGAAAGGTGGAGACAAAGAGGGCTTTTCTCTCCCACTCCGATGTAGGGAGGAACCTGTCGCCACCCTGGGGTGTTCTGATCGCAAGCATTTAAGCGGAGCCTAGAGGATCCCCACCCCGGCAGGTGGCGATTGAAGTTTCCCTCCAGAAGGTATTTGCCTGGTTCACCAGAAAACACCTGACGTTCAATGCTTTAGTCCAATGAGTTCCCTGAAGGCAGGGCTACTGCCTCTTCATCTCTCTCCTAGCATCCGGCGTGTGCTTAACTGACAAGTCGTCCAGTGAGTGATTTAATACATAAAGCATCTGACCTTTGTTAAGACGCTGCTTTCGGAGGCAAGCACCAGGTTTCCACGTCGGCCCTCCTACCGGTCTGTCGCTGAGAAATAACTTCTGTCTGAGCCTCCACTCCCCGTGTGTAACTCACTCGCAGATGTAAAGTTGAACTCTGCTGAAGGCAGGGACACAGTTACGGATGCATGTTTTTGAAAGGAAAAAATGGTTGTGAATGTGAAATTCACGTTTCTTCCTTGACTGTTTTAGACCTTATAGGGTAGAGTAAATTTCTTATGTGAAGGCACCTAGAGATTTGCCTCATGGCCCTCAAGGCATGATTACCAGGGGGTAAGGGAGAGACGGATAAATTGGGAGATTGGGATTGACATATACACACTACTGTGTATAAAATAGGTAACTAATAAGAACCTATTGTATAACACAGGGAACTCTACTCAATACTCTGTAACGGCCTATATGGGAAAAGAATCTTAAAAAAGAGTGGAGGGGGCTTCCCTGGTGGCACAGTGGTTGAGAGTCTGCCTGCCGATGCAGGGGACACGGGTTCGTGCCCCGGTCCGGGAAGATCCCACATGCCGCGCAGCGGCTGGGCCTGTGAGCCATGGCCGCTGAGCCTGCGCGTCCGGAGCCTGTGCTCCGCAGCGGGAGAGGCCACAACAGTGAGAGGCCCGCGTACCGCCAAAAAAAAAAAACAGAGTGGAGGTATGTATATGTATAACAGATTCACTTTGCTGTACACCTGAAATCAACACAACATTGTAAATCAACAATACTCCAATAAAAATTAAAAATAATAGTAACACATTGTCTGAGCTGAGAGTGCAAAATGGGTGGAGAGCCCGTCCACTCGATTTACAGCCTGGACAGCGGCCTGCATCGTGGACGAGGAGGCTTGTCTGTGGACGCTTCAGGGATGTGGCCTGGTTAGTTTCACGTTGACCCTCCCCAGTTATCCCTGACCACCCCCGTCAGGGGGCGCTAGATAGTAAGGTTCTCGGGAGTAAGAACTATGCTTGGGGTGGGATAGGGAGGGTGGGAGGGAGGGAGACGCAAGAGGGAAGACATATGGGAACATATGTATATGTATAACTGATTCACTTTGTTATAAAGCAGAAACTAACACACCATTGTAAAGCAATTATAACCCAATAAAGATGTTAAAAAAAAAAAGAACTATGCTTCATTCATCCAGTAACTCGTTCAATATCCCCTACACACTCCTCGTCCACTTGCCTTCTTGGGTCCTTCAGACTGTGTCCTCTGGGTGTGTGTGTCCCCATGGCAACCTCTCCATACTCAATAAAAGCCATAGGTTTGCACCACCCAACACGAACCTTAGGTCTGCATGTTTCCTTCACCTCAGCTACACCTTTTCTTACATTACCCAGGATCAGCCACTATCCAACGCGTCATCCCAGCCAAGCCAGAAACACCCTCAAATACAGCTGGTCCTTTTCCACTCCACTCCACTTCCTATTCCGTCGTCCATTCCATCACCTTCATGATGTCATATCTTCACGTTTTGGCGTCGCCAATGTTGGAATAGCTTGTCACTTACCATCTTACCACCCTCTTTCCTTCCTGTCCAGCTCCTTCAACATTCTGTGAGCTCAGCCACGGCAGGGAGGGTCTTGCATTCCCAGTATCTTCCGCTGGTGTTGGCCATATGGAGTCCTGAAATCAGCGTTTGGGAAATGATCAGATAAAAGAATGGCCCATACGTTCTGAGTCGTGAAAACTCTCTCAGTCAGGGATGTTTACTGCTTTGCTGGGAGATGCATGCAAATTCCTACTTTAGGGAAAGTTGGGATTTTCATAGGCATATTGAATCATCTCTTAAATGATAGAAAATTTTAATATATATAACCTCAGCCTGGTGATGCAGGCAGAGCAAATATTGCTTTTCTGAGGTTTAAGTTGTAAGAGGAAGAAATGGGGCCTCAGAGGTGTAAAGTGATTGCCAAGGTCATGACTGTGTCTGGCAAGAAATAGGATCTCCCCGCCCTGACCGCAGTGCCCTTTCTTCATTGTATCTCCTCCCTCATGACCTGTGGAGTGAATGATGCATGGGTATCTGCTCATGGATGCTTACAATGGATATCTCTGACCGCTCCAGTAATTGATGGGGCAGAATCCTTTGAGTTCAGGCTTAAGGAAGACAGACACTAACTGGGGTAAAATTAAGTGGTTTAAAATGCTTTTGAGATACTTCACCTGAAGACGTGCTACCGACAGGTAAATGAAATGAATATGGAGAAACCTCTTCCCTGCCAATGAGTAACACACAGCTTTCAGGCAAGCAGGTAAATTCAAGGAGACTGTCTTTCTTAGCTACGCTTACAAAGTTCAGTACATGAATAATTGAACAACTTCCTGGCACACCCAATATTTATTTGTAAGCCTGCTCCGGGCAGAAAAAGAGAAAAAGCATTTTGAAAACAAGTTTTGCATTAGCTAGGAGTTTATTTGTTTGCCGGAAGATTCCCTAATTACATTTGCAAAGGAACATATTGTTGTGTCTTGTTATTTTCTCGTTGACCTATTGATGTGAAATACATGAGACAAATTAGAAGGGAGATGGGTAAAAATCTGAACCACGTGTGTACGTGTGCGCTTTAGGAGACCAGAATAGAACTTGCAGAAATTTGCACATGGATTACGATCCTTATTACAGTCTTACAATCCTGTGGAATAAGAACTGCTTTTGCACTTGCTTTTTCTCTCCAGTTAAGCCAGTGGCCAGTCCAGGAGGGCCACAGAGCTTCACTAGAAGCGGATGCTCAAAAACTGCTGAATAAATGTTTTGCTGGTTTGCAAACTGGTCCCCATATATGGAGGGCAAAGAGAGAGCGAAGAAAGAGGCAGACACTCCAGATTGGCAGGTGGCAGTTCTAATAAGCGAGGGGACTTACCTATGAGGCTCGTCTTGGGGGCCACAGATGATTAGATGTCCACACTAGGTGGTCTCAGCACCAGCTCGCTCTCTCAAGGCTGCGTCCTTGGAAGGGCTCTCGCTGTGGAATGGTGGGCAGATGCACCTTCAAATGTGGGGATGGGATGAGGAACCTCCACTGCCTGGGTCCGCCTTGAGGGTCAGCTGGTGGTCACGTCCTCTCGATGACCTCCTCCAACATGTTTCCTATTCCAAAATGTTCGCAATGTCTTCTTTATGAAATCTAAGTTATGAGCGTGTAAACAAGCAGAGGGTCTTCCATCGTCCTCCGTCTAGTGGGGGTAGGAAGTCCCATCCAGAGAAAGCCTGACTGCCTGATTCTGTTGGTTCTTCACATGCTTATTGGGTCTAATGAGGAGGAGAGGCTGCTGGTGACATGGACCCAAAGATGGGATTCTGGGGAGTCAGCACCAGGGGTCTGGGAAATGGACGCTGCATCTAATCTACGTAACACATATTACAGACAATGTGTCTCCTTTAGACCTGAGGGCTCACTAGTCATGCATTCACTTCTTCATTCACTGAATGAATAGATTTTGAACACCTTTTATGTGCTGGACGCTGTTCTTGGTGTGGATAACAGCAGGGAGTGAAAGAGACAGCCATCTCTGCCCTAGGGGGGCTCACATTCTATGGGGGAAGACGGCCAATAAAACAACACAGGGATGTGTGATCTAGTGTGATTGGAGACTCCGTAGAGATTCACCGTGAGATGCAGCTCATATCCCGTTGACTGAATATTTGTGATCCAGGATCAGGCAGTCACCTCTCTGGGGCAGGAAGTGAACGTCAGCCTCCCAGGACTGTACTCCTCCCAGGGGAAACCATCAAGATTGCTGCACTTATTCAAACATCGGTTAGAAAAAATTAACCTGTTTCATTTAAATAGCTTTAACCAAATGCAAATTAGTTTTTCCTCATGCGAGGGTGTTAAAATACAGGTCTCCTGCTAATTCAGGGCTTTGCCAAGTAAACTACAGCACCGAGGTTCAGATCTGAGAAAACTGTTGGTTATACTCTGTTGGCCATCACAGACTCCTCTCTTCCTCTCATTTCCTCTCTCTCTCTCTCTCTCTCTCTCTCTCTCTCTCTCTTTCTCTCTCTCTCTCCCCCCACCTTGCATATTTGATGTTGTCTTGTAGGTTTCCATTGAAAAAATCAATGCTTGGCTCTGATTATGTTCTTGGTACAGGTGTGAACTCCGATTAGGTAACTGCTGTTGCATTTGACTTTTTCCTTTGATCTGAATTGAGGTGATAAGTGTGGCAGACAGAATAGGAGGGAGATTAAGCAGCCTTTCCTACCAATATACTTTCTAAAAAAATAAAATAAAATATTCATGCTGGTTATTCTTCATCCCTGCCTTCCCCCCCCCCTCCCCCTCCTTCTTCTTCTTCCTTCTTGGTCTTCTCCGCTAGCCTGTTGGGGATGTATTTGTTTGCCCTGAGGCTGTACCCCCTGCTTCAGCCAGAGGCGCAGCTGGGGAGAGGGCGGGGATTTACGCCCACTTTTGGCTTCTGTCCCAGTAGCAGCTCATCTCTCGGAGAAGCTCAGCTCTCCTGGGCGCCTGCACCCCACCCCCTCCGCCTCCCACACAGCTCAAGCCCTCACCAGGGTGCTCTGTTTCTTCTTCTTGACCCTTGGGGTCTGCGAATGCCAACCCCTCCCCATGACTGCTACTTCTGGGTGCGCCGACCTTCTCAGATGATGTGCTTAACCCCGCAGCCCCTCATAAGTCCCTATAGGCAGCTCTCTCCAGAATCCCATAGGAACATGCCTTCTCTTTCCAGGTGGGCCCCTGACTGATATTGTAATCTGTTTAAGTAACTAAGCATCGAATATAAAACATTACTGTTTTGAGAAAAAAAAAAGATTATTTAAAGGGAGACAAAAGCACAGAGGTATGATTTAGGTATCCCGTTTTTCCTTAATCACCTTAAGTTATTGCCTAAACTAACCCTGTTTTTCTTCCAGCTTCAAGGGATCACTTCTTTAAAATCACTCTCAATTTCTGATTTTAGATCAGAAACCCTCCCCAAAGGATACATTTGACTCTGGAACATCTCAGCTTCAGAGACATTTGAAATCTTAGATTCTTTTCCGTTCTGGCTGAGAGTTAAAACTGAGTTCTCTGTTTCCCGTAACTGCAGGAAAGGAGTCCGCTGAGGACACAAACACGCAAGCAAAAACCTGTAATAGAAAGTGGAAAGTGTGCCCTTCACCTGGGGAAACTTGGCGAAGAAGTTGGCAACTGGGGTGGGACCTACAGGATGAGTGGGCACGAGTGTGTCATCTGCTGGTAATGACCTTCACCCTCTGTATCTGGAGAAGAGGCACCAGCAGCTGGAGTATCTGGGGAGCCTTGAGTCATGGTGAAACGGATCAGGGGTGGGAGGGGGTGAGGGCAGCCCCAGGAAAGCTGAGGTCACCCCTGTTGCCTGAACTCCCAGCCTGCT